GAGTTCGACTTCACTCGAACTACGACGGGATATTACTTCGACGCCAGCTCGAAACATCCCAATGGCTAAGGCCATCAACAAAGAAACGAGTTCGACTTTACTTGAACTACGACGGGATACTACTTCGACGCCAGCTCGAAAGTAACATCCCAATGGCTAAGGCCATCGACAAAGAAATGAGTTCGACCTCACTCGAACTACGACGGGATACTACTTCGAAGCCAGCTCGAAAGTAACATCCCAATGGCTAAGGCCATCGACAAAGCAACGAGTTCGACTTCAATCGAACTACGACGGGATATTACTTTGATGCCAGCTCGAAAGTAACATCCCAATGGCTAAGGCCATTGACAAAGAAACGAGTACGACTTCACTCAAACTACGACGGGATACTACATCGACGCCAGCTCGAAAGTAACGTCCCAATGGCTAAGGCCATCGACAAAGAAATGAGTTCGACTTCGCTCGAACTACGACGGGATACTACTTCGACGCCAGCTCGAAAATAACATCCCAATGGCTAAGGCCACCGATGAAAGATATGAGTTTGATTTCACTCGAACTATGACGGAATACTACTTCGACGCCAGCTCGAAAGTAACATCACAAAGGCTAAGGCCATCGTCAAAAAGCAAAATCAGCTTAACAGCTCGACAAATACCCAGAATATCATAAAGATTACAAAGATTACCACCGAATCAACAAAACAATTTCTTCATTACAACAAAATGCTACTGGCACCTATCTTTACAATGGGCTCAAAGACGCCCTTACAAAAATCAAGAAGCAAAAATAAGTACAAACCAAAAATTATGCATCATCCACCGTAGCATACACATCTTCATACCAAGAGTCGGAGCAAGACGGTTCGCATCATCAGAGTTGATGTCATCCCCGTCAGGCAAAAGAGGGTCGTATTCGCATGCCTCACGAGTTGCACGAGCTTTGGCATGCATATCCTGAAGCTCTACTTCAGATGCACTCCTGTCAGCATGAAGGGCCTTGTAAACATCAAGCTTGGCCTCAGCGTGAACCCACAACTCGTATAAATGACGAGGCACGACAGGGTCGGCTGAAGTACGAGACGTAGAAGGTTGTGAGTGTCGGCGCGCGTCCTCCGCTCTCAGTGATGCCACTTGTCCGGTCAATGCGGATAGCTCCGCCTCCAACTCCTTTACACGCCCCTCGAGCCCCGCTACCTTAAGCTCGGATGCCTCCTTCTCCTTTGTCCGCTCCGACCTACAGACACAGAGGGTATCTTCCAAAATCGCCGCTGTAGAAATAACGGTCACCAGTCTATCGGCACTCACACTCAACTCGCCCTTGAGTTCGTTGATCTCTGCTGCCTTCATACTCAATTCAGTGGTTAAACTGGCCATCCTTGCTTGTAGGTCGGCATTCTCAGCCATCACCCCTCTACTTAACTCGAGCTCATCTTCCTTCACCTTAAGGGACGCCTCGAGTTCACTATTGCAGGAAACGGCCTTCATGAGATCCTCGTCTCGCTCTCTCAACTCCTCGACCTTGCACGCCAATTGATCCTCCCTCTATTTAAGCCCTTCGCGGAACAGTCAGAAGTCAGGGTCCTGATTGTAGATGTCGGCCATCGCACGATGCTTGGTGCGATATTCTTTATATTTAGAAGACATATTCCCATAGATGGCTGCCCTCTTCCTTTCCCGGCGCTCGCACTCAAACTCCATGATAAGGGTCTGGCACAACAAGAAAATGTCAAAACAAAAAGATTGGCCAAAAATAATAACGCAACCCTAACGATGAAAAGGAAGAGAAAGATATCTACCTGCAAGGCCATGCCGACGATGTTCCAAGACAACTCCATGTCGTTCACCGCTCTAAGCGCCTCGCTCTCAGGGGCAGCACATAAAGGGGCTAAAACTGGCACCACCTGATCACAGTTCGACAACAAGTTGTAGTCCCCAGGGACAACTATATGCCGATCAGAGCCCTCCACTCTGACCTCCACATGAGTATGGAGTTCTAAAAACTCACGAACGTCCCCCGAGTCGACATCCGAACCCGAGCCGTCGTACTCGATGCGGAGACCCCCTCCGATGTTAGAAGATGTGCCACCCTCAACGGAGCGCATGGAACCACCTCCTGGGTAAATCCCTTCCATTTGGGGGGACCTCCCCGCCAAGATAGCATCGGCCATAAACATGGTCACAGGCACCGTCTGCGACGCACCCGTCCTACTTTTACCAGTATCCACGGCCACATCTTTCCCGAGCTCCGCTCCTCCTCTTCCTCAGTAACGACTCGTCCCCATTAGAGGATTCGTCCACGAGGTGATGGATCGGTACGGAAGAGGCCTATTTCCTTACGGCCATATCGCGAGAAGGATCTCCCATCTGTATCGGTTGAGCAAAACCCTCCCAAATGGACTCACTCAGTGTAAACTGCATTCCTGCAGCAGCAGCAGCCTGTCGAAATACAGGGACTGGGGCCCTCCGCCTAGAAGCTCCCCGACCTGTTATCGTAAAGAGTCGTATCAATGGGCAACGGTATACAGTCAATGAGTGATATAGGGGAAGACACTTACCAGATGAAACTCTCGGCCCAAAGCGTTTTACGAAAGCAGGCCAGTCTCGAGTCTCCACTGCATGGGGGAGTAGACGGGCTACCCATCCCTTATACCTGCAATAGAGCGAGGTGGATGCCCCACAGCTGCAAACGAGAAGTAAACAAACACTAAGGTAAATGAAGAAGAAAGAAAAGAGTAAAACAAGTGGTGACACTTACGGTTCTCGTTTCATCGCTCCGGGAACCTAGCAGGGTCAGACACGATGTGTGCGGTTCTGACGAAGAAGTACTTGTGCCAAAATTTACGACTCGCTCGGTCGTCGGTCCCAACCACCAGCCCTTTTGTCCCACAGTGCCTCAAATGCACCATGGTACCCCTGTGAAAGCTGGGTGAAAACAAGTTCAAAAGGTGGTGAACGGTAACCTCATACCCCGCCAACTCCGCGTATTTTGTCAACAACAGGAGTATTTTAAGCGTATACGGGGATAGTTGAGCCGGGCAGATCTGGTAGAATCGACAGAATTCCTTCGGTAACGGAAGAAGGGGGAAGGAATCGCCGATCATGAAGGGGTATTCATAAAAAGCACAGTACCCAGGCCTATGGGCTTCCATAAAGTCCCTTCCCGCTGGAACCATATCAACATGAGCGGGAATGTTATACTTTGCATGGAGAGCATCGATATGAACTTGCTCCATTTTAGAGAACACATGGATAGGAGTAGGGGGAGGATCCTTAAGAAAGTCCTTCGAGACATAGGGTGTCTCGGCAGCAACTCCTCCACGGTAGGAAAGTTATCCCCCTCCTCCACCATTATGCCCTCATCGCCAAAAAGGGGCGCCACAGATAACGGAGTGGTGTCAGAAACCCCTTCCCGAGATCGATGTGTTCTAGGCGTCTCTTCGGCAAAAAATGTGGTAAAATAACAGAGAAAGCTAAGAAAGAAGAACGGGGGAAGAAGAAGTAGAGAAAACGTTAGAAGCAAACACAGGGGAGATGAGAAAGAATAACAAGAGACGAAATAGCCAAGAGTTTTTGAAAAAACAAACCCTCCCCTATTTATAGGATTAGATGGCACCGGAATCAAAGTAGAAAGACTGCAGAGTGGCACCGAAATCGAAGCGACAAGCCGTCAGCCCCTGTCTCGAAAACACACATAATGATGACGCATATGGAGATGACGTCATTTCCCGATAAGACACACCACCCAGGGTCTTATTGAGCACGCTAAACCCCCCATTGTTGGCCAAGTCATAACGCTCCTTGAAACCAAATTTCTCCTCGAAGAATGGACGGTGTCCGCTTATCAAGGACGCACCAAATTGCAACCTCGACAAGCGGAGGGACTAACTGTATGGGTCCAAATTTGGACGACCACAGCCATCGACAAATACGACAGAAGATGAGGTCTTCATAGCTCGACGCCCTGCGAAGGACGACAGACAGCGAACAGAGGACGTATGGCTTTTGCAATAGTGTAGGCCGAATAGGGGGCATTAGGAATATACTCGCGAATATTCCCTATGGTATGTTTTCTAGGGTTCAGAAGGGGGTTGTCCCTTATATATAGTGGGAAAAACACCTTGTTAAAGGACTTTTTTATTTACTCTTTCAGCTAAGAATACTAATTGTAACACCTTTTCGATATTAAAGATTGGCATTCTCAATGTATGATCACTGACTTTTATAAGGTCAACAAATATTTTCCATTGTGTTCATCGTTTATACCTCTTGTTCTAGAGTTCATTATACTTAGCTAAGATTTACCCCTTCATTTTCTTTGATTGATTTGTTCGAAAAGGTTCCAATATCTTTTGAATCAAACAGTACTTTCTTTGCTCCATTGTTTTTGGATGGAAAAAATTAATTTTTTTTAATTACATGGATGAAAGATAATGAGGTCACCAAATGAACTAGCTATTAACTCCAAGTAACTAAAAACATAAGAGAAAACCAAAAACAAAACAATACTTTGAATCCTAGGCAAATATATGAATGAGCGCACCTAACTGACTAAACGTCCCCGTAACCAATGAAGCAATCTCATTGGCCTGTCAATCCCGAGGGCCCCACACCTGCTACGCGTATTATGAACCTATGACATATTCTCTGTATATCCCATATTTGGCTATTTCATTGACTCCATTTACTTTGCTTCTATAGCTTTTCTTCCCATTACAACCTTCTTTGTTCTTTTCTGATTGTCTCCCCCTTTGCTTCTTTTATCTATCTGTATCGAAATTCGCAGACACAAAGCTTTACTATTACTACTATCTAAAGTTTTCTTATCCATAATCAAGAAAAGAATATATAGCATCGAATCTCTGCAAAAAAAAAAAAAAATTGAAACCCCATCACGCAACTCTATGTATTCCTTCTTTTCTCTTTGTATATATACAGTAACCCCCCCACCAACCACCCATAAGGAGGACCTACCTGAATTTTCTAATACCCAAAAAAATGAGAATTTTGAGAATTTGCAGTTTCTTGATTCTGTTTAGTTTCGCCTTTGGACATGAAAATCTTAATACCTTAATTGTTGAGTTCCCTGAAAATACTGAACCCCAATTGAAGGAAACAATTACTGATGTTGAATTAGAGTGTACAAGTTGGAGGTTTGCTGTGGAGGCTAATAATTTGAGCCCATGGAAGACTATTCCAAAGGAATGTGCTGATTACGTGAGGCAATATATTAACGGCGGGGCTTATAAGTTGGACATTGATAGAGTTTCAAGTGAAGCTGGAGCGTATGCAGAAAGCATGAAATTGGGCGCAGATGGAAAAGATGTGTGGGATTTTGATGTTGATGAGACTTTGCTTTCAAATCTTCCCTATTATTCGCAACATGGTTATGGGTATGAATTTCATAACCTTTTTCAAGATTGGGGTTTTTAATTTTCTTATTTAAATGGTGGTGTTGTCTTGTCTTTCTAATACTCCCTCGTTCCCAATTTATGCGGTGATGTTTGATTGGACATAAAATATAAAATTAAAAAAAAAGACTTTTGAAACTTATGGTGTACAATAAGAAAGGACAATTGCATGGCTGTAAATAATTTCATTAAGGATAAAATGAAAAGGTTAAAGCTAAACTATTTGTAGATATGGAAGTCAGATATTCTTTTGGAAAATATGCTACATAAATTAGGATGGAGGGAGTAAGTGATAATAAAAGGAACTTTGTTATTATACTTAAGCTTTTGGGACAACTTGAATGTTGATATGAGATCTTATTTTGAGCATAATTCTATGTAGATTTGTATGCTACTGATAAATTTTGTTGATTTTGTGAAATGGTTATTTGTAGGTTGGAGGTATTTGATAGTGTGAAATTTGATGAATGGGTTGAGAAGGGAGTGACACCAGCCATTGGGTCAAGTTTGAAGTTTTATCAAGATGTTATGAGGCTAGGATTCAAAGTGTTCTTGCTTACTGGGCGTAGTGAAAGACACAGAATTGTTACAGTGGAGAATTTGATGAATGCTGGTTTTCAGGATTGGGACAAGCTTATACTGAGGTGAGTTGTAGTGGCATCAAATTGTATATCAATAGAATTTATTGCTGGAAACTTTGAAAATGGAAATTAGCTAGGATTGATTATATGTTGATTTGTACATATTCTGCTCCATTTAGATCGTAAATAGTTAGTCAGTTAAGACAATTTAGAGATACTTTGTAAAGCCCTTATCTAATTCACAATCGTTATAATTTTGAAAAGAATCAAATTGGTCCTCCTTAAGAATGAATTAGTTAGAGGAAAGTCCGATTAATATAATTCTACATGCTGCAATAAATTATCCAGGAATATGATTAACCCTACTTGGTCTGTACTTGGTAGCTCTAAAGGCATGTTAAGGAACCAAACTTCTGAAAACTGTATAGGTCAACTAATTCCTGGTCCAGCACCATATTTACATGGTAAAAGAAATGGAGACCTAGCTATGAAACCTTAACTATTCTATGTTTATTTACATTCAAATTGTATCAATGTTTTATGTCCATATTAAATGTAGCTATTCTTCTTACTTCTGTATGCTAAAGAATGCCTTTTTGTTTACTTGGTGGTATAAATAGTTAATGCATCACCTTCGTCAGGGATAGTAAAACATCTTTATTGTTGAACAAAAGAAAAAATAAACGGAGAACTCCAGAACTCAAGTAGAAATAAAAACAGGTCTAGAGATAATAGTCCATGAAGAGTAACGTTTTAAATAAACATGGGCAGATAGTTTAAGATCTTGAGCAGCATTTGTAGAAGAGCTCTGCTTTTCAATACACCTAAATTCCTCTCTCTCCCTCTCTCTCTCTCTCTGTGTATAGCAATTCTTCCCAAATAGAAGAGTTTGAGTATGACCATTCGGTTAAAGTGATTAAAGGAATTACAGTAATCTGCATGAAATGCCCTCCAAGGGAGTAAGAAGTAGAGTTTTTTCCACATGCCTTTATTTATTCTAATAATGATTTATCAACTAGAGAGGCAAATCCATTAGGCACGACTATTGGCAGGAATATGACAATAAAACACCAGAGGAAAGTAGAAAATAATCTTATGCATTGTCTTTCCTTGTACTAGGAAGGAGGCAAAGCTGGCGGTCACGGAGGCTAAGAATGCAGCTTTTAGTCGTCTATACGAGGAATTGGGGGAGAAAGGCGGGGACAGGAAGCTATTTCGGCTAGCTAAAGTGCGGGAGAGGAAGGTCCGGGATCTGGACCAAGTAAGGTGCATCAAAGACGAGGATGGTAGAGTATTGATGGGGGAGTCCCAGATTAAGCAGAGATGGCAGACATACTTCTATGGTCTTCTAAATGAGGAGCGAGACCGGGATATAGCGCTAGGGGACTTGGGGCATTCGGAGAGTCTTCGAGATTTTAGGTATTGCAGGCGCATTAAGGTGGAGGAGGTCGTGGGGGCTTTGCGTAAGATGAGTAAGGGTAGAGCGACCGGTCCAAATGAAATACCGGCTGAGTTTTGGAAGTGTGTGGGTCGAGCAGGATTGGAGTGGCTGACCGGGTTGTTTAATGTAATTTTTAGGACGAAGAGGATGCCGGATGAGTGGAGGTCGAGTACAGTGGTACCGTTGTACAAAAACAAAGGTGATATCCAGTGTTGTAACAATTATAGGGGTATCAAGTTACTTAGCCATACCATGAAAGTCTGGGAGAGGGTGGTGGAGGTGAGGGTGAGGAAGACGACGTCTATTTCCGACAATCAGTTTGGGTTCATGCCAGGTCGCTCCACTACGGAAGCTATCCACCTTATAAGGAGGCTGGTGGAACAGTACAGGGATAATAAGAAGGATCTGCACATGGTGTTTATTGACTTGGAGAAAGCATACGACAAGGTTCCTAGGGAGGTGCTCTGGAGATGTCTTGAGGCTAAGGGCGTGCCGGTAGCCTACATAAGAGCGATCAAGGACATGTATGATGGAGCTAAGACTAAGGTTACGACTGTGGGAGGCGACTCAGACCATTTCCCGGTTATTATGGGATTACACCAAGGCTCTGCGCTTAGCCCGTTCTTATTTGCCTTAGTGATGGATGCATTGACACACCATATTTAAGGGGATGTGCCATGGTGTATGCTATTTGCTGATGACATAGTTCTAATTGATGAGACAAGGGCTGGTGTTAACGCGAGATTGGAGGTTTGGAGACAGACCCTCGAGTCTAAGGGTTTCAAATTGAGCAGGTCTAAGACAGAGTACCTGGAGTGCAAGTTTAGCGCTGAGCCGAGGGAAGTAGGCAGGGACGTGAGGCTTGGATCACAGGTCATCCTGAAGAGAGATAGCTTCAAGTACCTTGGGTCGATGATTCAGGGGGACGGAGAGATCGACGAGGACGTCACTCACCGTATAGGGGCGGGCTGGATGAAATGGAGGCTTGCATCAGGGGTTTTGTGTGACAAGAAAGTGCCACTGACACTCAAAGGTAAGTTTTATAGAGCTGTGGTTAGACCGGCCATGTTGTATGGGGCAGAGTGTTGGCCGGTTAAGAACTCACATATCCAGAGGAGGCAGGTAGCGGAGATGAGGATGCTGAGGTGGATGTGCGGTCACACTAGGATAGACAAGATTAGGAATGAAGATATTCGGAAGAAGGTGGGTGTGACCCCTGTGGATGACAAGATGCGGGAAGCAAGGCTCAGATGGTTCGGACACGTGCAGAGGAGAAGCCTTGATGCGTCGGTAAGGAGGTGTAAGCGGTTGGCCATGGTGGGTACGATAAGAGTAGAGGGAGGCCTAAGAAGTATTGGGGAGAGGTGATCAGGCAGGACATGGTACGAATGCAGATTTCCGAGGACATGGCCCTTGATAGGAAGGTCTGGAGGTCAAGCATTAGGGTTGTAGGTTAGGGGGTAGTAGAACTTTTCTTACTTCTTTCCGGGGGTGAGGCGGGGTTGGATTAGGGTTGGCCTTAGATGGCTTGCAGTTTATGTTGAATACACACTATACTTGCTGTTTATCTGAGCCCCAGGCCTGGTTACTGTTATTGCATGTCATCCATCTTTTGATTGTTATGCTTCTGTTACTATTACGATTTCTACTGGAGTTACTAATGAATTGTCTTTTCTTGTTTTTCTTATTTCCATCTTTCTGAGCCGAGGGTCTATCGGAAACAGCCTCTCTGCCCTATCGGGGTAGGGGTAAGGTCTGCGTACACATTACCCTCCCCAGACCCCACTTGGTGGGATTTTACTGGGTAGTTGTTGTTGTTTGTTGTTGTCTTTCCTTGTACTCTAGTGCTTCATGCTGTAGTTCTAAGAATGTAATCTTTTGATATCTGCAACAAGTTTTCTTGACTTCATAACGAAAAAGAAATTCTGGTTTTCCCAATCACAACACGTATTTTTTATCTAGGTGAACCCTTCTTAAGTAGATTTAGTTATGTGTTTTAGTCTACCAAATTTACCCTGTTGCATCGACAATCTGCAACCGCCCCGCTCAAGAAGGCCATTATTTTGTTAATCCGGAAGATATCCTTTTGGGCACCTTTGAATTGCTGATCACACAGGGGTCAAATGCTAGATGAAGATAAACATTAGCATGCATATTTTCCTTCTCTTTCTTCGATGCTTTCTGCTCTCTTTAGATGTCAAAGTCTGAAGAACAGCATGTGGTTAACTTCTTGGGGTTTAGATACATATAGTAGTCTTTGCAAAGAAAGGATGCTAAGAAAAATAGATGTCAGCCTGATTTGGTGTAAGGGGTTTGGGGCTTGTGGGACTAGTTTCAGTAATTTGCGCAATCCTGCAGTGATTGGACTAAGTTTTCCATGTGGGAAAAAGAAAATGCGAACACGTGCACTGTTTCTTTCCTAGTGAGGACCAGTGGTTACAAGTAGGATATCTAACAAGAGTAATTCAGAAATGTGCAAGAACTCTATACCTGGAATTAAAACGTACAACCTAAAGCAATTTTAGAACCACCTCTGCTACTAAACTAGAAGCTTCCCTTGTCCCAAGTAGATTCAGCAATTTATATTTATACAAAATAATTTTGTTTTTACCCTATTTGAATAGTATAATTTTTGACGAATGAGATTTAATTAAATCCTTTTCAGACCATGTACCCACCCTCTGATCAAGTGCCTTATAGTATATCATGCCTTTCTAAGAAAAGGGTAGTCTGTTGCACTAAGCTCCCGTTATGTGCGGGGTGGGTCCGGACTGTAACCGTCAATTATACGCAGCCTTACCCTGCATTTCTGCAAGAGGCCGTTTCCACAGCTTGAACCCGTGACCTCCTGGTCACATGGCAACAACTTTACCAGTTATATCAGGCCTCTGGACCACACTGTTATATCATGCCTTTCTAAGTAATCTTTATAAAGTATAATAGGGCAACAATTTTCTTTTCTTCTATGAGCTTTTCAAAGTAGGACAACATCTTCTGTGACACCAGAAATTAATCCTACTTCTTGGATAAAATGTTTGTTAATGATGCTATGCAGGGGCTCGGAGGATCATGGAAAATCAGCGACAATTTACAAATCAGAGAAAAGAGATGAGGTGGTAGAAGAGGGGTTTAGAATAGCAGGCAACTCTGGAGACCAGTGGAGTGATCTGTTGGGTTCATCTGCTTCTATTCGCTCGTTCAAGCTTCCTAACCCAATGTACTACATTCCTTGACATGAATGCCAATATGCCTTTTTCTCCTGTCCAGTGGCTAAGCTGCTGCGAAAAATGGAATTATACTTCTTGTAATTCTTTGTCTCTCTCTCTCTCTCTCTCATTCCTTTTACATTTCTATTACTATAGGTTGGCAAGGACATAATATGAATTCCCTATATTATGATCCTATTAGTGCTCCAAAACAATGTTAAATTTGGTCAAGGGAGAGTGGATTAGTAATTGAACTAACTAGTACTACTATTTTTGTAATAAAAGAAAAGAAAGAAAGACCTCATGGGAACTGCAGGTTCAATTTTTTCTTGAAATAGTATAAGTGATCACGAAATTGAACATCGATTTTACTAGAATAAGAATTAAGATAACCGGGATTAGGAAAAGCGTGATGATTGATCTTGATTAGTTTAGTTGGAATCATGAAATATTAAAACACTAAACCACGATGGACCTATGATACCTAATTCTTGGCCAATCTATGAGTTATATAAAGATGATAAATTCGAGAATTTGAAATTTCTAAGAGCATGAATCCATCCTTTTTAGAACTTCAAATTACTACATGTACACCAACCTTTCCTTTTAAAGTGAGTAGTCTTAATTTGATTCTCAAGGGTCAGTGGAGGTACAACGTATGAGTTTGGTGCAAATGGATCAGATCATTACGATGCTGCTAGACTACGAGTTTGCCATTGCATTGTGAATGCGTGAGTGATGCATTTTGTCTTTAGACATCTCCAGGTGCACGGAAAGTAAAACTAAAAAACATTAAAGCCTTATTGAGCTTGAGATGGTTTCTACATGCGGATGCTAATCTTCAGATCCAATGTGTAACACTACTGTTGAACTATCATGACCACAATCCAAGAGTCACAATTATGTGAAGGGACGTATAACCTATAGCTAGATCACGGGTTCAATCAACCAGTAATGCTTACATCAAAGTGAGATATTTCGTATGTCCTATACGATTAAATTTGATGTGAGGACCGGTGCGCCAGTCAGTTTGCTCCGAACAAGAACATAGACTATGTTAAAGACAACCTAGGGTAAGAGTGGGTTGGCTTGTATTTAATTTATTGAAATTATTAGCGATGCGAGCATAGGTCATTAGAAGTCAGGACTTCCAGTATAATATATCAGTCTAGCATAATATGCTGGAAGTTTATACACATGTGCTCCAGTCTCCAGTATATTATGCTGGAACTTTCCATCTGTTGGAGTTCCAGCATAATATGCTTGAAGTTCATACACAGGTGCACCGATCTCCAGTATATTATGCTGGAATTTTCCATATTGCAGCAAAATAGTGGTTATTTTTCGATGACTTTGCAAACGCTGGCTATTTTTGAATGATCAGTTCGAAAACTGGCTAGCCCGTGCTATTTTGACCAAGCATCTTCATATCATGTATGCCTCTATTTCTTGATTAATTAGTTTACTACTAATTTCGTAGGATCGGATCTCCAAATTTATTTTTCAAGTTGAGGATGTCATATTGTCATGTCTTCTTTGCCTGCCTCTTGAGAAAAAGTGAAGGGCTAAGCTCTTATTAAAACTCTATTACTATAAGCTTAAAGCCTATTTCAAAGATGCGTCAATAGTTGACACTCAATTACATTACATATTAATGTCGGTGTCTTTGAGTAGGGATTAAGTCATCACGCAAAATTATTAAAAAGTCAATTGTATTTACTCTTAAATTTCAACGCTACATAGGCCATCATTTTCTGTGATTGCTCTATCAGTCTACTGGTCCAGCCAATGCAACTTCGTGATTATTGCCAAACTATTTTCTCACGCCACGGTTAAAATGGTTTTACCCTCTAACCATTTTTTTTAATATCCCGTGTCCGGTATCAATTTTTTGGTTCGATTAATTCAAACTGCACACATTAATTGTTTTATTTTCATGGCTCGAATTCGAAACATCTGAATAAGAAGGGAGAGAACTATATATCCATTTCGACTCATATAAAATGCTCGGTCCACTTTAACAGATTTTTTGGTCTTTTTTGTTGTCCACAATATTTGATTTTTTCAAATATCAAGAAAGAATTATTTTTTTTTAAATTTATGACTTGAGTAGAATCTCGGAGTATCTGTTATATTTTTAATGAACAAATTAAAGAAATAAAAAAGGTTAATATAGTTATTACTAATTAACAACAAAAGGTGGGTTCCTTAATATGTACGAAAACAACCAAAAAATCAATTAGAGTGGACAGCATTGTTTTTCAATCTCATTAATTAACCATTAATCGAACGTACATCTAAGTGTTCAACAAATATCTCTCAATAAATGCTTGTAGTATAAGCAAATATCTTAGGTCAACAGCATTTGTTTCCTGATTCACATCAGACCATATCTCAATATCCCTCTTTTCCTTCTCTTTCTTGTGGTTTTCTAGAGGAAGTCGGGTTGGAAATTGCAATCTTGATTTTATTCATGGAACAATATGAAGAAGTTTAGTCAATTATTTGGTACCAATGTAATTGATTAGAGATCATTTATCGAAATGATTATAACATGCTTTAAAGTTTTATTGTGTTGTTATAAAAAGGTATATGTCTAAGATCTAACATAGTGTTAGAAGACATGTCATGCAAGTAGCTTATTATGCATCCCATTTATAGTGAGTTTGATTTATATTTCCTAACAAACTCACCCATAATCAAAATAATGTCACCTATTAATTACTTTGATCACATTTATAATTCCTTCCCTGCCCTCACCTAACTTGGAAGTCTCTCAACAGTATGGCTCTAAATTTGGCAGGACCAGAAGACTTATCAAATTAAAGAAGTTGTAACTTCAAAAAGAAAAGAAAAACCACCAATCTTAGAACTTATGTCTTGTAGTTTGTAGACTTTTAAGAACTAAAATATAATTCCTTTCTCTCAAACAAGATGGTTGTGTTTTGTCTAATGTGTTGAATTTCGTATACTTCCATATGTAGTTTAAAATAAAATCATGTACGGTGTGAAAGCTACGTTGAGACCACTATAAATCAATTAATAATATTGCATTCTTATTAATTATAAGAAGAGAAACCAGAAATTAATGTTTGGCATACGAAAAAGAAAGCATAAATTGAAGTAACGAAATTAATATATACGGGAAGAGGGTTAGTGCACCTTTCCTACAACGAGATATTACTTTAAAGATCAATTCCAACCAAATTGATTATTGACCAAAAAGCAGTTGTACGTTATTAAGGTACATAATAGCGTTACGATGAAGTGGTTGTTGCAATCCATGAGTGTTCTTTATTTATTTTGGCTATCTTGCAAAACTAATTTTGCAAGTCTTTAATTCAATTAAGATTGAAAATTTGAAAATTTGAAATACATAGGGATGAAATTATGTGCCACAATATGTTTAGTACAAATTTGAGGAATTTTCATAAATGATTATTGTTTGGTGGCTATTAACTTCTTATAGATATCATATACACAATTACTTTCCGTAGTTACCTTTCAGTTGTTATGGTAATGTATTCGATGTATACTGTATTTATGAATACAGTAGCAAAAATCGGCTAAAAAACAGGCAGTCCAGCTGTCAACCGCTGTATTCACATGTATTCATACCATATATTCATGAATACAACGTAATAATAGGGCTCTTCAGTTGTTTAATAATGGAAAGCTGCTGATTTAACGGGATACACTCCTAATATAACTCACGAAAATCAATTATAACATACAACATTATCAATCCAATTAATGAGAAGATTTATCAGACGCTAAACACCAAAAAACAGACATTCTTCAGAGTTTCGGTCCCTCTTTTTTCTGATACTGTTCGAGTTTTTTTTCCTTGACATTGTTCGATGTATTCAAGTTTATTTTTGTATTCACAATATTTTATTTATTCCTAATATATGGTATTACTGCTTTATTGTGTATATTTCATTGGTTGTATTCATTAATTTTCTATTTATTTGAGAGTATTTTACTGTATTTCATTATATTGTTGTTTTAAATACATATGTATACAGTTAGGTTGAAAATACAGATGAATACAGTTAGATTGAATGCATAACTAATTGATGAATAACATCAAAATTATAGAACTAATAATGTATTTAAAAATTTTGTTGTATGAACTCAAATACATATAACTACATCTAAATGCAACAGTCAAAAATCACTGTACAAAATACAAAATCAGTCTATGTTATCGAATACATATAAATACATCTAAATACTAGAAGAGAAAACTACTGTATAAATATGTATGCCTTATCGAATACATGTAAATACAAGAAGAGAAAACCACTGTACAAACTAAAAATCCCAAACTTAATCCTAATCTCACTAGCCGTTGTCACCGTCTCCTCTATCCTTTCCTCTCCCATGTGAACATTCAAAATCAATTCAGCAAAACACTGTACACTAGATAAAGTCTCCTCTATCAATACACTAGATAAAATCAAGTTGAGTCTTTGACTTTATGGGTGATGGCGAAAAGGACCCAGATAGTAACACGCATGAAAACAACGTTTGAAGGGGAAATCAAGGTGGAGTTTTGATATGCTACTGTTGTTACAGTGCAAGTTTATAAGGGAGTTGTCAACAAATTTTCGCCATCACCCATCCGCAAAATCTACTCTAAGGTTTGAGAACAATCTAGAGAGAGAACCTACAAATAAAGGAGAGAATCGTGGTTCAACAATGGGGAAGACAATGGCGCTGTGAGAGAGAGATCGTGTAGAGAGAAATAAGATACTATGCGGTAATTTTGGGAGAGAATAAACTGAAAGAATGAGAGAAAAATATTAGACAGCATATTTAATGGCTTAACTGTAGGAAGTGACCATAAATACATATTTTGGTATAAAAACTAAATGGTAGATACAAAAAATAATATTTTTTAAAAAAATTATTTATAATAAATAAAGTATAAAGCTTTGCTATAAAAGGTAAAATTTCCTACAAATTTTCTAGGCTTGCAATCATCTTCACGTCGTGGATGGGCCCAATCATCTTGATTATGCTAGGAAAAGAGAATTATACCAACGTAACCCAAAAAAAAGAAGAAAAAAAGGTGAAGAG